ATTGTTTTGAAATAATTCAAAGTCAATAAGACATTAAATTAATAAAGCAACATAACAACTTAAAACCTGAAGAGACAATTTACAGTAAATACTGTATATATAGTATATTTTAATATACTAACAGGTATTTTAAAAGAAAATTTTACGCCTTTGATGAAAACGGCAATCTAAGATCTTACAAAAAGAGCTAATATAATAAGTCAACTAGCTCCATTTTCTCTCTTTTTGTATGTGCTCTTAACTTTTTACAGAAAAGAGCTCTACCACTCTTAAATATATATGAGCTATTGTAATATCGTATAATATTTTTTTATACCAACAGGCGTATAAAAGGAATATTTTACGCTTTAAGCTATAATCGCGTAAAAATAGGACAAATTGTTCGGTGGTTTAAAGAAAACAGAGTAATATATGACCTAACGCAAACGCATGCTTTCACATTGTTACATTCATGTTATTGCGAAATATATATACAATCAACTTTTCTGTTAGTATAATGGCAGAATAATTTCCCGATTCTTAAAATTCAGTATCGTCGCAAAAATATTCATTACTCAGATGACTTGTTAACGAACGTACAGAAGATATATACATTTATTTCTATAAGTCTATTTATTCCTAATAGTGCCTTATTATTCCACTATCATCTACTGTTGTAGTCGTGACCAGTAATTATTTGCTTATCTTGAATTAATTTCAAGAATTTTTTCTGGAGGTTACATTGTCCGCCTTTCTTTTTCTAGATTGCTCTAATTTGCTCACCTTTTCTTTGATGCTGTCAGCGTTGTGTGAGAACTGCAGGCACATCTTAAAAGGCTTGTCTTGTGATTTTAGGTAAAAACGTTGATAATAATTTTACAGGGAAATTTGAAATGGGAGAAAGAAAAGAAGAGAGAAATGGCAGACTGAATCGAAACAATACCAGAATAGCTGTAAAGGAAGCTATCTCTGGCTGTCGAATAGACAGAAATAGGTATGAAGGCAAGATGGAGAAAATGAAAATAGAATATATATATATATATATATATATATATATATATATATATGTGTGTGTGTGTGTGTGTGTGTGTGTGTGAACGCGCGAACGTCTCTGTTCAAAGACAGGGATATATAAAGATAGAAAGAATATGAAGAATAGTAAATGTGGGAAAAACTGAGGATGAAATGGAAAATAATTAAGATGGATGATTTTATGAATGGTCGTGTATAATTTTCCAGACAGGTAGGCGGCAGATGAAAGAAAGAAAGTTTGAAGACATGGACTCGGAACGAAAGTGAAATATGTATAATGAAACAAGTGAAGAAAGAAGGGAAAGGAAAGAGACAAATAGGAATGAACGAATAAGTAATGATCAAAACACACATACCCCACAGTTATCAGAGATTTTATATGAAAACAAAGACAAAGAATTTTAGTGAGATTGTATTGTACCATATTTTTCAAGCAGACTTTCGAATGTGTCGAGCTCAAATATGAGCATCGAAAACTTATTACAAAATGAAACATGTCCATGATTTTGACAGATCCCATTTATAGATATCTATAGAGCAAATTAAAAGCAAAGCTAAATAGGAACAGATAGATAGATAGATAGATAGATAGATAGATAGATAGATAGATAGATAGATAGTGAATTATACTACTTAGTTATTGTTGATTTTAGAAATACTCTGGTTGGGCATAGTATATCTTCTAGGTTGAAAGGAGCAGCATTTGAAATTCTGGCCGAGGTTCGAAATAACTATACTGAAAGCCAGCTCATCCCTATTTAAAAAACCGAACACGATCTGACAGTAGATCTGTTTAATTCATAAGTTTTAGTGGATTACAGATATTTACACCACATGGGTATTAAATATATTACAAACATATTAATGTAAATCCTATTAAGAGAATAAAAAGTTAATGCTATAGGAAAGGTTTCATGCCATAAAAATAAACATCCTAGCTTTTACCAGGACTCAAACACTGCTGGATTCACATGTAAGTGCTTAATTGTTTCAGGGCAGCCTAATGTTGAGAGATTGAGAGTGAACACAGAGCGAGTGAATAAATTGCGAACACTACAGATAAAAAAAATACAAAAACAAGGTCTTCTAGACAGATTTGTAACAGTAGATGTTCCTAGTGTATAATTTCTTTCAGTTTAATGCATCTATTAAGGATGTTCATACATGCTGTTTCTTTAAGAATTCGTATACATTATTGCGACTGCCTGTCGCTCTAAGTATTTACTGTGTGAACCCGAGTCTATGCATATCAGCTAGAGTAAAGGTGAGGCTTCGAGATGACCCTTGGTTTTCAGGATGAACTTGTTGGGTATCAAATCAGTTGCAGGCATAATACAATTTTAAGCAACAAACACTTATACGACCAACATATATTTCTAAACTTTATATAGTGAATACCTACATTTGAGTAAACGCCCTGTTGTTGTAAACAGTTGGAAGGACGTCTACCTGCCTGCGAACTCGAGAGACTTAATAAAGAATATGTACTCTCCCGTAAGGTTCGAACATGCGCTCCCACCTATATGAGAGAAACTACCGTCTAATCCGCCATGTATTAGATCGCTCGTCCACAGAGATGCCATGATGGCTTCCCAGAGAAGCACTCAACTTAAAATGTTTTTTTACTGGTGAAAAAAGGGAATACTGTTTCGATTCCTATCAGGAAGCGCATTTTCTTTAGTATGACTCTTCGGTAGATATTAATTTCATATTTAAAAAGTAAAAACAAGAATATCGACTGAAACATAACTAAATATAACGTTTATAGTAATAAGAAATATATTCATACTTTTCTTTTAAAAGTAGATATGAAAATATCATGTTTTATTGTACTGTATCACTTGATCAACGAGCATTTCGGTCAAAGGGCTTATGAGGCGTTTTCTGTTTATCAAAAGAAAATTACTCTTTTTCTAAGTTTATTTTATACTAATTTATTGTGTTGTGTTGTGTTAATCACTGGTAGAACATTATGATGCTGTGTTTATCGGCTCGGAAATCGAATTTGAATTCCGACTGGAAGTTTTTAAGTCACTTCCGCATTAAGTCCTATTGAAAAAAACATACATCTAATAGTCCCTAACATCCATTTCTATTGTGGGTTATCAAGAGTATTGTCATGATATTACCATGTTCCAGTATTAAACAGAGAAAGAGGTAGACGAATGTGAAGATAAGCAATCCGCTCACTTAAAATTGTTTTATTTGCCCAGAAATTGGCAGAAAAATGGCTGCTATTGCCATTAACATTGAAGGTCAGTCATTAGATCCTTTTTTATTGCAAATTAATGTGTGTATATATACTACTATATAGGTATTGGTATTTATTTTTTTAAATTTCAGGTATATAAAAATTGTTATAGGCTATTACAAAGATATATACACTTAAAAGAGAAATAAGATATTGTAGTTATTGAGTGATGTGAACACAACATTGAAAATTGCGAAAAGGTTGAAAAGAGATCAGAGAACCAAAAAGAATTTGAAAACATTGAAAAGATATAAACAAGATAAACAATCTTCAATAATGTCAATTTTGAGAAAAAAATCAAGAATAAGAAGAAACTGATGCAACTGCAAACACTGGAAAGATGCAAACTATTTAAAAGTTTGACAAAAGACACGAAAGCGACCAAACTAATAACTCAAAGTAAACCTCATAAAAAGAAGCATGTAAATTGAGCAAAGAAGCGAGTGAAAATTCATTTCTTTATAGTAATTGTTAGTAATGAATGTACTCTTACAGGGTATGGACCTGATGACTAGTCAAGAGGTCGGGTCATTCAAGGAAGTAACCAGGCAATACGGTTTATGTGGAGCAGGAGGAAGATAGATTAACGTCTTGGGATCTTATGGTAGGAAGTACAATCTAGGTCCCTTTAAATTTAACGATGTATCAAGAGAAATTCAGGGAATATTGTTAGTTCATGAATTAGGTATTCTTTAGTTATATAGGTCACAACCAAGAAGCTTTAAGAAGATTTATTCATAACAGATAATGATCCTTCACATTCTGTAATGCTGACTATTGCTCAGCTCGCCAATAAAGGTTTTAAACCCCTCCAGATATTAATCTCATAGAAAACTTACGGGCCATCATTAAAATAAATTCAGATGAGAACATGAAACAATATTCAAGCCACGAAATGAAGCTTATATATTGTCAATATATCTATCTGTTTGTCTGTCTGTCTGTCTATCTATCTATCTATCTCCCCACTCTCTCTCTCTCTCTCTCTCTCTATATATATATATATATATATATATATATATATATATATATATATATATATATATATATATATATATATATCCGGAATATTAATTTTATTATTTGATATTACTATATTTTTGTCAAAAATCAGAGTTAACCCCCTTGATATTTTCTTTACTTTTGAATACAAATTTAAATTCTAATAATTTATTTTTTTTAATTTATGTAATTTTTTATTTCTTCACGTTTTGAACTTAGGATTTTAATTATATTAATTACTATTAGTTAATTCTAATAATTTAGGGAACAATATTTGTTTTAACACAAATTTTTGAATCATCACGAGAACGCGAATTAACGTTGGATATTATGTATATTCACTAATATATATATATATATATATATATATATATATATATATGAAAGTTCATGTATTACAGGCCTATCATATATATTTATTTTAAATTATAACCTTTTTAATTCTTTTACTCCTCTGTTTTCTGTCGCTTATCGGCACTATTACTACTATGTCATGTGTTTGGATTATTAGGGAAATTTCCCACACATTTTAATAAGGACACTGTGAAGGAAATTTAAACCCCAAATGTTTAAGTTCCATAAAAATAAAATGTTGTCTTTAAAGTTAATCCAGATCTCTCTTTAGATGGAAAACGCGCTCTTCATACCAAAATATCTGAATAATTCAATTTAGTTTTGTAAATTTTGAAAGAAAGTTGTTGAGACTTTATGGATTGAATTAGGAATATCGACTGTTATGAACCAAGTGACTATCTCTCACTCTCTCTCTCTCTTTCTGTGTCTCTTTCCATACATATATACACGCACATACACGCATACTCACACATATATATGTGTGTGTGTGTGTGCGTGTGCGCGCACGAGTGTGTTGTAAAATCTGTATAAGATTCTACTGAATAAACATAAAATAATATTGCATACAATTTAGACTAACTAAGAGCAAATGTTGTCGAATGTGCGTCTAAGATGTTTAAATTATCCTGAAGAAAATGTGAGAAATAAACGGAAGAAGAAAGAAACAAATTTAGCAATGCAAGTATTATCTAGTTATATGTAATATTTTAGCAAAAATACACAAATTCACTATTTTGAAGTTATAATTCTTTTGGATTCATTATTAGCAGAGGGAAAATGAAAGGCATTTCGTATATATGAAAACAAATATATTGACAATTTTTTTCATTTTAGCACAGAATGTTTTTTCGATTAATATTTCTTTCTTTCTTTCTTTCTTTCTTTCTTTCTTTCTTTCTTTCTTTCTATCTATGAAAATTAATAGTAATATATACTATAATGTGTTCTTTGTTTCGTGAAATTCATTAAAAAGTTTCCTTTCTCCATTCACTCCCCTTTGAATTTCATGTGCACCTGGGAAAAACAGCGGACGCAGGGACACGTGCCTGTGTTTACAATAAAATCTGTTTTGCGTGTACCTAAATATGTAAGTGTTGTTAAGTGCTTATTCTTGCTATAAATATTTCAAAGAATAGTAAACAGATATCCTTTCTTTTCCTCTTCAGCCTTCCATATAAGAACCATCTGGATATAGAACCCCAAAGCATTTAGGTGTATAGAATTGACTCCGATTTCGACTGCAGTCTGCGATCCTTTAAAATATAATCACTTTTCCATACTGGTAGTTGGTAATCCCTTCGTTCGACGATATAACTACTTTACAATTTATTTATTTATTTATTTATTTATTTATTTTCTTTCTTTCTTTCTTTCTTTCTTTCTTTCTTTCTTTCTTTCTTTCTTTCTTTCTTTCTTTCTACGTTACTGATATCTACTCTTAATAAATTCATAAGGGTTTATATATGTATATCAAATGTACAATCTTTAATTAATTTTCATGTTTGTTCGAATTAACGTACACGAATATGTTGGTGAATTGTTGACGAAGTAAGAACATTTTTCAATACTAATTGTAGTTTTATTTCCCTCTCCGTTAAAAGAACCCATCAGATAACAGATAAATCCCCAACATGTTGTACTCATCTTAACGTTTCCATTTCCTGCCTAAGATGAATCTGTATTTGAGCTTGCCTACAGTGACAATACAGGTTTTAAATTCATCTCGTTATACAGGAAACGAACTAAACTTATATTACCTTTCCTTACAACTTTTCTTATAGCATTTTCTCTCTCTTTCTCTCTATGTTCTGTTCTATTTTCTTTAGTTGTTTTTACCTTTTTATTTCCTTCATTTCACACTATCTTTTCCACTTATACAATCTTCAACTGAACCTCTGACTGTCGGCCAAGTTAAGAATTTAGGTTAGTGTATTCAAGGCGAGGGTGAAAGTAAGAAAGCAAAATAAGAGATAACAACATACAAGAAAGAATGTCGTACGAGTGTTTATGGATTAATTAACAGAAATTGTAGCGAAGAAAGAAGAAAAAATGAAAACTCGGAAGAAAACTGACACGAGTATCTGGAATGAAAACAAAACTTAGGGGAATTATTATTTATGAAGTAAGCTAAAATATCAAAAAAAGGTCAGATAAATGATTGCTAAAATCAAATAAAAATGTTCACTTTGAAGCTTATATATTGTCAATATATCTATCTGTTTGTCTGTCTGGGATAGAATAGATAGATTGGATGAGATTTGCTCTGTTAAGTGGTCTGTTAACAGAGGTCATAAATGCAATGTAAGCATCATAACATACATGTATTATAGATACCTACAACTTTCTGGTGTCGGTTTTGAAAAGCAAAGACGATTTTTTTCTCATTAAAAAGACAATTAACAAATAATCTATCAGCATCTTAGTATATGTGATGTTTTTTTCAGAATTGTTGCATTGCTTAAAACATGTAAGCGTTTAAATAAAATCAGTGTAATGGGAAACAAATGGATGTAGATCAAATCAAATAATAAATCGAATAATTTATCAATAGAAAAATGTGTACAATATCAACAAAAATTAATTATAATAACATTTATTATAGTAACCATGAGAGAAAACAGATTAACAGAGCTTCTATTGTTGATAAGAATCTGTAATTGGTATTGACTAAGTGAGGAAACGCAACTGATTTTTATAATCAGCCTATTGTATTCTGAAATCAGATTTGAAAAAGAAATTGCGGAAATTAAGATTCATATCTTTGTTATTATTATTATTATTATTATTATTATTATTATTATTATTATTATTATTTGTATGCGTAAAATCAGGGACTTACAACAGTCACATACTTCTTATGCTTCTCATTTGAGAATAATGTCTAATTGCTGTAGTTATTAAATAGCTAATATGCCTCCTCCACAAAACAAAATGATCATGTAGCACTAGGAAAAATATTTTAGATCTTTTACGGCCTTATTTATATGCGATTGATTGTTATTACTATTTAAAAAATAGCTAACGTTAGTTTAAATAGTGTTGGGATTATATAGCACTGGATAATTTAGGCGTCTTACTTTTTGCAAACAAATCTCCCAATTTTAGTATTTGCACAGATTCCAAAAATGGAAATAGTGCGCTATATTTTGGACAAAGTTTTAAATATACCACATTTATAACCATTCAATCTCTAAACTATTTAAAACTACAATGAATGGTTTTAGTATTTAATTGTTATGTGTTTATTCCTGTTGACTCTTTGCGGATTATAGGACTAAAATTATCCCAAGTGGTACAAACTGCTGTTTCAGTAGCAAGTAAGTTTTACGGAGGCAGAGTATTGGCTTGACGTCAAAGATGAACTGCCTTACAGGCTAAAGGGTTATAATTGCTTTATTATTTAACAAGGAATGGATTGAAGAAGACCCATGCCTTTCCTAGAGTGAAGTGAACATTAACTGTTTCCGCTTCGGTTTGCCTTTCCATTCTCCGCGCGATTAACCGTTTGACTGCTCACATATCCTTAGAATCCAATTAGTCAAAAGTAATGAACAAATAATTTTAATCCAGAATGAATGAAATCGAAAATCAGTACTTTTCTTTAGCTTATCGGTTAAAACTTAGAAGCCGAGAAACTGATAGCCACCTGACTAATTTTCACGCAACCAGCCGAGCGTAAGTAGTCAATTTGTTGGCTTATGTGGATTGGGGCATCTGCGGGTTCCGGAATGTAAAAAAAAATGTGTATGTGTCTGTTTTCTGTGTGCGCCCGTGCGTGCTTTTGTGTGTGTGTGTGTGTGTGTGTGTGTGTGTGTGTGTGTGTGAGTTACAAGAGGGAAAACCTTTACAATTTTAACATGTACTATTTATTTAGCTTCATTACAAATTTTGGAAGCGGAATAAGACGGAATTGTTTCTTTTTTTTGGAATCTGTTTTGTTTTACCTTAATTGGTTGGGTAGACGCCACGTATTCATTTTAAGGTGTTAATGTCTATGTATGTATCAATTTTTGTTGTTTGAGCGTCACGTGCGTGTGGTTAATTCTTAAAATATTAGCGTAATTTAAGTGTGTATTAAACAGTTGGCTATATTAGTCTATTTTAATTACACGATGAATATGATAAATGTTAGAAGTGAATGCGTAATATTAGGCTGCATCCATCTACATCAATGTTTGGATCTTTCATTATTTAATAAAAATCTAAAGACCCGTACATATGAATTGAGAAGTGACTTCTGTATAGCCATGACTTTGATTATGAAAAATGCTATCTTAATAAAACAATTGAACTCCATCCGTTACGGAGAAAATAACTAGAATGAATATTAAGAAATAACCAGCATACAATAAATACTCATCAGATGTACTTTTTCATATCGCTAATATTCGTAAAACCTACACTTAGGTTTGAGAAAAACAGTGAAAGTCAGAGAGAACGTAGGGGAATAGATAGATGCTTATCCCAACACACACACACACACACACACACACACACACACACACACACACACACACACACACACACACACACACACACACAAAATAGGGCTAAATCAAAATTGATAAATGCTTTTGCAACAGTTCTTTATATGGATAGAGTGTTTCTGTCTTGAGAATTACCATCTGAAATACCAGTGTTTACTAGTCTTCATATACCGACAGGTAGCATCGAGCATATAAGGGTCAAATTCTCCATTTTTTTTTCTTTATTGTTTCCCTAAAAATGTCAATTATCTCTTTCTGATTATTAGTTACATTTTCTTTGGAGTAAATAGTTTCCTTAAAACCTTCCTCGTCTTTCACATGCTGTCAGTGTCAGTGTTTGACAGCACTAGACGATGAAGATACCTTTAAATATATTATGCACCATTTAAATGTTTTATACGCATTTAGAATACTGTCATTTGTGATGAAAAATGTTTACTATCGGTTGTTTCTTTTTGTATAATGATAGCTTCATGTGTTTTGAGTCTTTTTTTTTTATTGTGAGTTCTCTTGCGTATTTTCGAATCCTCTGCTAATATTTGTCTGATGTTAATAGTTGTATTTTGGCAGTTTGTAATGTAATGGTCGATAAGAGCGAGAATTGTGTGAAGTTTCGATAAGTGGCAAAGTAAACTACGATAAAGTGTGGTGCTTGTATGATCAGTATAAGAATTTTATAACAGCTTTTTTTTCTGTGGTACTATAAACCATAGCGTTCCTGATAACGAGCACAAGCGATGATCGAAACCATGAACTTTAGACAGTTTTGACGGAAATCTTGCTGCCTGCGTCAGTGTATCTGTGTATAGCAACGACAAAACCTTTACACTTTATCCAAGACATTTTCTAATTAATTATTGAAATATCAATTTTTCACCTGATTCACTCCGTATAT